GCCCGCACGCCGCCCCTGGCGGGCGGCGCGGCGGCGCGGCGGCGCAGCCCCTGCCCGCGCCGCTCGCCCGTTGTGCCGCTCCGTCTCCTCCTATCCTATTATTCCTCCTCCTCCTCCTCCTCCTCCCCCTCCTCCTCCTCCTCCTTCTTCTACTCCTCCTCCTTCTACTCCTCCTCCTCTTTTCCTCCTCCTCCTCCTCCTCCTCCTCCTCGCCCGCCCGCCTGCGAAGGCAAATCGATGTGCGACCAGTCTGAGTGCGCGACCGCACGACGGGTGGCACGGTGCGCTTAAACCCTGACCTCGAGCGAATCGATGTCGGCCGACTGTCAGAGGTGCTGCTGTGGTGTAGATATTACAGTTGTCAGCATGTGGCAGCCGACAGGCAGCGCAAGGCCGAGTCTTCTTCTTCCTCTTAGTATTACTGCTAAGGCCTTACGGCCAGTGCCGCCGACCCGGAAGGCCTCGGCCCTCGAGGGTAGCAGGATGGATGATGAGAGATGGGAGCTAGAGAGTAGGCTGAGGAGGAGGAGGAGCAGGAGGAGGAGCAGGAACGGGAGGAGGAGGAGGAGGCGGAGGAGGAGGAGGAGGACGAGGAGGAGGAGGGGGGAGGAGGAGGAGGAGGAGGAGGAGGAGGAGGAGGAGGAGGAGGAGGAGGAGGAGGAGGATGTGTCCGTAGCCATTTTGGCTCAAGGCTAAACGCTGTGAAGGGCTATAGACGCCCGAGAACCAGCGATTAGCCTTGGGGCTTCCGTAGCCTGCCTGGCTCAGAGGTCAGGGGCTTGGGGCGACCGCCGCCCACGGGAACCACCAGAGCTTGCAGCCATGGGCGGCTGGTGGGCATACCAGACGCAGATCGCACCGCCCAAGAAGAGGCAGTACGTCGTCTGCAGTGCATGCAAGGAATGGCAATACCTCAACAAAGCTAAGAAGAAGGTCTACTGCCTCTGCGGGAAGCCGTTCGACATCCCAGGTGGACACATCCACACAGGGCAGGGTGACGACAAGGGCAAGGGCAAGGACAAGGAGGGCGGCCTCGGGGACATCAAGGAGATCCTCGCAGCCCTCCTCAGCACGCTCACCACGGAGCAGAAAGACGCCCTCGGAGATAAGGTACAGACGCTCGAAGGAATCTCCGCGCCCGAGCAGAAGAACCCAGCTATCTCAGCCACACAGGCGCTCCAGAAGGTGCGCCAACTCGAGAAGAAGCAGCTAGACCTCTCCACCACGGTCGACCGCCTTGCCGCTGAGCTCAGGGCGGCACAAGGCGAACTGAAGGACACCACCGCCGAGCTCAGAGGAGCCCGCGACACCTTCGAGAAGGCCAGTGTGGAGGCAACCGCGAAGTGGGCCAGCGGCGGGCACGACCCCGCCAAGGGCGCAGACCACCAGGACATGGACGAGGATGAGGATGAGGAGATCGAGATCCCAGCCATGCCAGTGATCCCCGACAGTCTCAAGAAGCACATGCAGGACATGAAAGGCGACCACGGAGACCAGGCCAAGGCATTCATCGAGCAGCTCACGGCCGCCTCGGCCAAGCTGCCCCCAGCCAAGACCAAGATCAAGAAGGCGAGGGCCAAGCAGAGCACCAGCGTCGACCATCGCGGCCGCCAAGCAGCTCCAGGAGCAGCTCGGCCAGGGCCTGGCGGCGACCGTAGGAGCCGCAGTTGTCCCAGGGAGAGGGGGGGGGCTCGCGAAAGCTGAGCAGGCCACGCGGCCACCTCAGCGAGCTCCCCCCGAGCTCATGACAGAGTTTCACCGTTACCACGCCAATATCACTAAGTGGAATGATAAAGCCAAGAACTATTTACAGTCTTCTGATTTTGGGCTTCCTCAGGTCATCATGTTAGGGGAGACACATCTGACTTCAGGGAAGCTGGGAGAAGCACGTACATACATGGGGAAACTTGGCTACAAGAGTTATCAGTGTCCAGCCACATCCACGCCAGCAGGTGGAGAGACAGGCGGAGTCGGGATTTTCGTCACCCGACAGTTTCACTCTCACGCGCGGGTCATGATGGGGAAGGGTAACAAGAGGCCGCTGGCGGGGGGCACCAACTGGACCGCTTGTATGATCCGCACGAAGGCCCGCAACATAGTTCTGCTCACCGTCTACCTCCAGTCGGGGGTCGGCTACAACAGTTTCAATATCAAGGTAGTGAAGGAAATTTCCGTTTTCCTCACCTCCCTGGACCTCCCGTACATCATCTCGGGAGATTTCAACATGGTTCCCCAGGGGCTCCTAGCAGGCCACTCCTGGGTCCAGAAAATCTCAGGCGTCATCAAAACCGCGAACATCGAGACCTCGTGTCACAATGGTCGTCTCATCGACTACTTCATCATCCACCGCTCGATCTCTGAATACTTGTCTATCGAGACCGATTTAACCAGCCCGTGGAAGCCACACATCGGACTCAGAGCAGTTTTCCGAGTGGAGGCACTCCATCGCCAGGGATGGTTTCCCAGGCAGGCTGCTTCCGTCCAATCATCAGCAGCCCCAGCCAGTCCGTGGGCACAGTATTGGCACCAGGCGCAGCTAGACCAGCACGAGACGCCGCAGGTGCAGTTCCCCATCGCAGAAGAGCTCGCCAGCCAAACCCTCACCCACCAGTACGGCCTCCTCAGTCGGGCTCTCGAGGGTTGGTGTATCGGGACCCCAGCAGGCACCCAAGAAGGATACAGTCGATGGGGACGGCTTCGAGGTCATTTGGAGAGACATCCTCCCCCCCCCCCCCCCACTCCGTTCCAGCATCGGCTTCATCATGAAAGTCACCAGTGGGGGGTGGTCCAGCAGCGGGCCCAAGAACGGGATCATCTACTCCAACACCATCCGGCCTCCAGAGAGCTCTTGAGGATCCAGGGGTACCTCACCTCCACCCTCCAGGCGAACCCAGTGTGGCCACCAGATCTTCTGCCAGCCTCGCAGAACCTGGTACAGTCATATCTCGCAGGCGCAAGCGCTACGACCTCGTGGCCAGATGCGCGCTTTCAGCTCGAGCTGATCGTTCAGCACTTTGATAAGGAAGCCCTGATGCAGAAGGAGACTGCATTCAAGACCTGGCTCCGCGACTCTCTCGCCCACGGGGGCGGCGGCGCACGCCACATTACAAAGGTCCCTGGGCCCACTCCAGAAGAGGACAATGACGTTTTCAGCTCGGTCGACGGGGAGATTATCACAGACCCTCTGAAGGTCCTAGACCACAAAAGCGAGTATTGGTTGCAGTACTGGGACCCAGATAAGATCCTCCCCGACAAGCCCCCTGAGGCCCCGTGGCTCCAAGACCTACGCCAGCAAACCAAGGACTCTTGGGACCCCTCTCACAGCTGGAGCCCAGAACAAGTTCAGAAGGCCCTCAGAAGTTTCCCGAGCAATTCGGCACCAGGAGCGGACCAGTGGCGAGTAGCAGATTTCCGTCGGCTCCCACCTGAAGGATTAGAGACCCTCACCGACATTATCAATGATACGTGTATACTGCAGTAGTTTCCAGCCCAGTGCCTAATCAATTTGATTGCCCTGAAACCCAAGACAGAGGTCAGCGACCGCCCTATTACCTTGACGAACGCCCCGTACCGTGTCACCATGCGCCTATTCAAGGGCCAGATCTCATCCTGGGAAGAGGCACGGGCAGGATTCTGGAACGCAGCTATCAAGGGCAGTGATTGTTTAAGGGCAGCCCTCATCAGCGAGCTTTTTGCAGAGATCAGCAGCTCTCTCAAGTGCTCCATCATCGAGGGCGTTTTAGACCTCGAAAAGTTTTTCGACACGATCCGCCAGCACAAGCTGGCCGAGAAGGCCATCGCCCTAGGCTACCCAGTGGTCCCACTGGCACTGGGCATGATGGTCCACACCTGTACCAGAGTCCTCACGACACCGATCGGAGTCAGCGAGCCCCTCATCCCGATGGCCTCAATCCTCCAAGGGTGCGGACAAAGCGTTTCCTGGACTAGGGCCCTCCTGTGCGACGTCCTCGAGAGAGCCCACTACCAGATCCCAAGGCCCACGATCCGTACTTGGGTGGACGACATCAGGGTCCGTCTCGCGGGGAGCCCAGAGGCCCTGAAAGAAGCCTTCCCAGAGCTCATCATACAGTTATGTGGAGGACTCGCTGACCTAGGATGCCGTCTCTCTGGTAAATCTGTGGTCCTGGCCAGCTCCAACGACATCCGCACCACGGTCGTCGACAAACTCAACCAAGCAGGGGTCCAGATCAGACCCGTCCAGCACGCTCGGGACCTGGGGGTCGACACTACGATCGGGAAGAAAAGGGTCCTGGGAGTCCACCGAACCCGTCGTCTTCTCGGAGTGCGGAGACACAAGAACATCAAGAAGCTGGCCAAGACTACAATCAAGGCGCGATCACTTTTCCGCACAGGCGCTCTACCGCAGCTGAAGTGGGGCATGGAGGGACACGGATCAGCACCGACTGAAGTCCAGTATTTCCGCCGACTGGCGGGAGCGGCACATGGAGTTTCCAAAGCAGGGGCCCGCCTTGCCACCGGCCTCCATACCCGTCCAGGACACCCATCCAACATGGATCCAGGGATCTACCTTCGGGTCCAGTTGTTCACGATGTGGTTTCGGGTTATCAATACCGAACTCAGCATCCTCGGAGGCATCCAGAAGGCTTGGGAGACTCTGAGGGAGAAGCTCAAGAGACCTTCAAGGTGGCTCATGGCCAGGTCCCACATGTCCGCGATCATTGCCACCCTGTACGACCTAGGTTGGACCCCTACCTCGGCATGGCTCTGGAGGGACCCCGAGGGCCTCGATTTCCCCGTCAAGCCGCTGAGCTGGGACCGCCATAAGGTTTTCATGTTTCACTTGGAGTTCCTCTTGAACATGCATGCGTGGAAAGCTACCTACCCTCTCAGTCATAACTCTGGAGGCCTCCAGGAGGGGGGGGACGTGTACTCCCTGCGGCTCTACCCTGCCAGAAAGCGGGCCGCCATCAAGAAACGGGAGAAGCAGCTCATCGAGCACCCCCTCCCCCGAGCCCAAC